TTCCTTTCAACAAATGTATCGCTGTAGGTGGTATGCAACTTTGTGCCAGAGTCCGTATGGATAGCCATATATTCACAGTCAAAAATTCTTTAGCAAACAAAGAGAAAATTACTCTATAAATAATAGTTTCCTTCAGCTTGAGTTTAAAGTCTTTGTCTTAATCCTTACAGGATATGCCAAGCAGCTATCCCACACTTTACCTCATCTTTCCTTCCCCACAGGGTCACTGACACTTCCACCTCAGTCACCACAACGGTGATTCTCAGAGCAACTCCTTCTCCCTGGCTTTTCATATTTTTATTGAAAATCCAGATTTTAATGGGAAAACAGTGAAGAGATTTGTTGTAGAAATAAGATGTAGCAATGAGGAGGCTGCCATGAAAAATTTGAGCTGTCAAGAGAGCTCCAAGATCACACTACAACAGCTAGCCTGACAGAGTATGTAGGAAATAGAAAAGACTAACAATTCAACAAAAGATATTGAGACTCCATGACATTGCGGAGTATCATCTGCAGGTTGTGGTCAAAGGGTTAAGAAAAGGGAGTGGAGGAAAGGAGGGGAAAGGGAAAAAAAAAAAAAAAGAAATATTCAATTGTGTGTGGATTTGTATCAGGTTTGGCAAGGCAACAGCTGTGCTCTACCCTCCGTTACACAGTTTCCTGCCTATGCAACTCCCAGAATCTAACCAGTTGCCTTTTTTGGCTATAATCAGGCAGGACACAGAGGCAGTACGCTTCAGCTAAATTCAGTTTCATCATTTCCTGAGGAATCCTAAGTAACCAGCCATCTGAAGTGTCCTACATTACACTGAAACATATTCCTCACTTCCTTACTGTTAAAGCCCATGCATTCAATACACCTTGGAGATTCATTCTGAGATAAAGACTAATTCTTTTTGGATAAGAAGTACATAAGACCACAAGAAATCTTTCAAGGGGTATTCCAACCAGTTCTAGATCTGAAGAGAACTAAGGAAAGCACATAGCTACAGAGAGGTTAATCAAATCCCTTACAGGAGGGGAACCCCTGAATTATCTCGCACACAGCAAGGCTATGTTCTTTAGCCGCTAAGGGGATCATTCTATAGCATCTATCCCTTTTTATTCCCAGGACTGAAAACAACAGCTATCACAGTGAGAAAGAACCTAACATGGCTATTCTAAAATCTCACTAGACACTAAGTTTTTTATGCCAGTACTACTAAATAGTGAGGAGATTCAAAGATGGTCTGTACCTCAAACTTCAGACTTGAAAATTGCCCTATTGCATGGCAGCAGCAGTCTTATTCTCACCATCTCAAACTAGTTTTCATATGCTCCAGAAGAGAAGAATCCTCAGGTACCAGAACTAAAAAACTGGAGGATCACACTAAGATAACATGGTATTAGTGCTATTCTCGAGGCTGACTTCTAACCCACAGGGCCTCTAAACTAGCAATACCACAAACCAACCGTTAATTTGCCTTCTCCACAAGAACACTACCAGAGGAATCAGATTCAGCAAGTTCCATCTCATGGGCTCCAAAACTTAGCTTCCTAGCTTATGCTGCATTTCACTGGGCATTTCTACAAACCCTTTAAGTGGTCAAGGAAGTAAGTCCAGTAAGCTCTTGCAGACTTACAGCAACTCACAATGAATGCAAGTCATTACCATTTTAGGAACAAATTAGGAAGCAATTTGTTTGCCTAGTTTGCATTTTGGTTGTAGATAATTATGTGGGGCAAGGACATTTATCTTTACATGGCTATTGTGCAACTGTCAGATGAGAATACCGTTAACAATATTCTTTTTGATGCAATACCAGTCTATAGGTAAGAAGACAAACCGTCCTTGCTTTGAGTTTAAATGCCTCCTTCCTAGTATTGTTTCCAAAAATGAAATACTACAGTCACTTCCCTGTTAACCCAGTATGCTCCCTTATTATGGTTCATAGCAGTCTGAGGAACAGGCTGGTCAAACGCTGCTTGTTTTCCATTATTTCAGGTGCCAAAAGACATTCTTTTGCCATTTTACTAACTACATAGTTCCCACAAAGATGCCATACAGTTACAGATGGAGGCAAGGTGATCTCTACAGTCATGAATAGGACAGGACCAAGACATTAATATGTAGTCCAACCTTAAAAAAAAAAATTTCAAGAACCCTTTACATACATATTTCCCTGCATTCTTTTGAGATGAACAAATTAAACTGTTTAATTAAGCTAAGATGCCATGCATTCCCATTGAACTAGGCAGAATTACCCAAACCCCTCATTTGAATACAATCATATGGACAGAAGCTTGCCTTAGCCTCCTACAATTTCATAGCCTTAAGGCTTGAATTATGAGACACTTCACACACTCCTCTCCCTGAAGTATCAAGTGCTTCCCAAAAATCTGGCAAATACCTTGTCTAGCTTGGAAAGGTCCAAAAGCTGCCCCTGCTATAAGGTCCCTTCCTTTGGATTACAGTGTTTTGCAACTGCTAAAAGCATAGAACATTATCTGTTTGCAATTTAATTTTCCAGAACTATTTGTATTATTCCTCCCCCCCTCAATGTTTACTCTGTCAGCAGCCACAGAATTGTTTCTGGGACTGAGCCACTGCTCAGTAAGATGAGCTTGGGCTATGCTAAACTATCGGGGTAACGGTTGAAATAGAAATAGAATTAATATACTCAGAAGAACATTAATGGCAACAGTTAAAGCATCACACTTACTAAGAAGTATTAGAGCACTAGCTAGGCAAGGAAAGCACTTTCAGTTTGAGTTACCCAAACCGCCATTAAAGTAGGGGTCCCCACACTGTTCTTTTTAGGCTTCAGCCTCATTATTAGCAAAGGTGCATTACTACATTGAAATAGACAGCTTTAATCACAAACCATTCCCCTACTTTAATGAATTATGAGAAGTTTGTGAAATACTGGGCTATAGAGAACAGAAAATAGCCAGATACATGTACTGTATACTTACTGATTCAGATCATAATTTCAGAACTCTGCTATAAGACAGCCTGCGTGAAAAGGGACATATGTGGATAATTACAAGAAGTTTTCTTCTGCTTCATATCCACCAGTAAGGCACCATTATAAAAACTTTCTGAGATTCCACATGAAATGATCCCCCCATATGGTTTGTCCAGTGGCCTTTATACTAGCAGTGCAAGAGGAACTACCCTAAAGATCAGGGTGACAAAAAGAATGAACAATAAATAGCAAACACATTTAGACTAAAAGAAGGTAATTCCCTTTGTTTATACAGTTCACATTTTAAAAGTATTTCAGGAACACAGTTCCCATGCCATTTTCCAAACTGGCTTACCTTCAGCAGGTTGCGAGAGTATGGCATACAAGACAAAAAGCCCTTACACAGAGCAAAAGGAATGTACACCATTTCTACAGGCAAGACAAGACTCTTACACTAGAAAATTACAGCACTACCGGTCACTTACAGTTCCATTTCAGTTACAACTAAATTGTCCTCAGTGAAGAAACTTGGTTCTTTGTTAATACACAGCATTTAAAATATAATCTGACTTTGAGAAGAAGCTAATGATTCAAACTAAGTTTAGTCAGTAACATTCATATGACAGGAATCCTTGTTAAGCGTGCAATCTGAACAGCTAATACTTGCATTATTTTTGCAAACTCAACTATTTCACTTTCCCCAGCCAGCTGAATACAGT